CAGCAGCAAAGGGTCTGCCCCTTTCCCATGCTGTGAGCATCCTTTACTCCTTATGGAGACAGGAGGTTGGATGGTGGCCACATGGGGGTGTCCACCAGGTTACAGCTCAGCTTCAGGAATCCCCAGCGGGCCAAGCAGTGCTGGACTCTGAAGGTGTGGGAGGGGCGCCCTGGGGGGTGGGGGGGTCAGCCAGGTGCCTGGCCCTCAGCACTCCTGATCCACCGTTGGGTGCAATTGCAGCATTGTGCCCACACCCCCCTGAGGCTCAAAAAGGTTGGGCAGCTCATCCAAGGCCACACTGAGAGACCAAGGAGCCTACTCCCAACTGCCTCAGCCCCACCACACCCCCTCTTCTTTCCTTGACCCCACATTGAACTGGTGCTCAGAGGAGAGGCCTTAGCTCTGGCTCCACTGAACTTCCCCGGATTCCTCCCTGGCATCTCCCAAGCCTGCCTAGAGGAATGGCGAGGAGGGAGAGCTTCCTGGAGTAGACAGACATTTATTTTCCCTGCCAAGAGTCTGTGGTGAGGGACTGAGCACCAGAGATGGACGTGGTCATCAGGAAGGTGGAAGGCTGCCCCTGCCACTGCCGGTCAAGAAACATCCTTTCTTCAGAATGAAGAGCACATGCATGTGTGTGTGTCTGTGTGTGTGCGTGTCTGTGTGCTGCGTGTGCGCGTGTGTATACATGCCTGGTTTTGTTTGCTGATGGGAGGTTTGGAGGAATGGCAAACAAGGGCACACTCATGCCTCTCAGGCGACCTTGGGTGGAAGCTGCCGAACCCCAGGGAGCCCTTAGCCCTGAGTCCGTGAGACCTTTCTGTGCCCAGGTGCCCACAACTGGCTGTGCAGCCTAGAAACGGCTTCAGTCCCTGTCCCAGTGAGGACAGAGCAGAACAGAAAAGAGGGTTCAGGGACACCCAGAGAACTAGGGGTCAGACCCTACAGGCCTCCTTCTGTGGCCCTACTCTGTGCTGGCACTGACGGGGATTCCTGGGAGCCGAAGAGAGCTGGGTGGCCTTGCCCTATCCTTCTGAAGGTGTCTGTTCTAACACCAACCTGTGCCACCCCCTGACACACACACACACACACACACACACACACACACACACACACACACACACACCAGACCCTCAGGAAGCGGCAGTGATGTAGGGTGAGGGGAGTCCTCTCCAAGGGAAGGGCTTTTGAGACTTGAAGGATGAGCAGCAGGTAGGAACGGCATTTAGGCCACGGGGAATTGCAGAGCAAAGGCTTTGAGGTACAGAAGACCGGGAAATGACCGAGCCCAGACATCCTGCCTCGCCCGTTGCTGCAGGTCATTCCTGACGCCCGACAACCACGTGGGTGTCAGAGCACACCTGTGCTCCGAGGGGTTTTCAGGAGGGAGAATTCAGAAGGTGGCTGCCACACCTGCCTTGCGAGGTGAGGCAATGAAAGCGTCCAACTGAATCCTGGGGTCACCCAGCACACATGTCCCCCACTGAGGTTGGAACAGGGGACGCCCTGCCTGCCTGTTTCGCTCTCAGGCTGTAAGCCTGAGGCTCCTTTTCAGAGTCTGCTTGGTGCCACACGGCTTTGAAGTGCTGTGCTTTTTGTTGGTGATTTTCCGGTTTAAAACCCTCTCAGAGGCATTGCTCAAGTGCTCTCGGTGCTCTTCTAGGCAAGGCGCCTGCGGGGTTGGTTCTTTGTGGAGCAAATCCAGATCTTAGGTCGACTCCACTCGGGTGTAAGTAGCTGTTGGCCGGGAGTTCGGTGTAACGGGTCAAGAGTGTGAGACAAGGAAGGGGCCTCTCAAAGCAGAAACACACAGAAGGAGGCTCTGTGCTGCAGGGTCAAGGAGAGTGCTGGGACCAGAGGCTTCGCAGGCACCTGGCCCCCTAGCTCAGTAGTTGATAATCCAGTGACTTTCTTTAGAACACAGTGCTGTTAGCACTGTGGTAGTTACATCATCTGTTGTCGATTTGAGACTGAAGAGTGAAGGGGTGGAGTTAGCCTGTCATCAGGTTGCAGCTTGATGACCTCATTTGGAGGCCGCTAAGGAGATAAATAACTTACTGGAGGCGGGACACAGGCTCACTCCCCGGGAGACATTCCTGTGGACAAGACACATGGAGCTATGCTAGAGCCCTGGAGCTGAAGGAGCCACATGGAGACCCTTGCCACTGCTAAGATGCTTCCACTGCCACTGGATCCACAAGATTTTCCACCCACTGATCTGTGATCTTCCTGCATTTGGCATCATTGCATGTGTTGCGTGAGGCTGAAAAGGAATTTATAGATTGGTATCAGACAGAGGGGTTAATATCGGACTTATGGACTTGATCTGGCCTGGGCTGGAATGTTTTCTCAATGTTCAATTGTTGTAGATAAAGTTCTTTCTTGCACACATATGCTAAGGTGACCAGACGTCCCGCTTTTGGCAGGACAATCCCAATTTTTAACAATTTTTCCCGTGTCCCACAGCATTTTAAAAAGTCCCGATTTTTGGAAAGAACGCATGGCAAGCTAGGGTATATGGTTTTCAGCTGCCATGTGGCTATTTCGCCAGGATATGAGTTTTATCAATGGTGTCCCGCTTTTGTCCCGCTTTACCAATGTTAAAATCTGGTCACCTTAACATATGCGTGTCTAGGAATTTGTTCCTCTAGTCCACCTGGACTCACACAAGCACCATCACACTTGTTGGGCTTCGAGGACGCCCTATGGATGCAGAATGGGGCAGCTGCACGGGGTTTTCACGGTCTGGCCTTCCTGAAGCAGGCAGCCGAGTTTTATATAGAAAACTGCATGTGGTAAACGGGTTTCCTGCAGACACACCCCACAGTGTGGCTGGCCATTGTCAAGGTAGCCAGCGCCTAACAAATCATCGCAGGCCTGGCAGGCGCAATTGTACAGCTATCGTATATAAGGATTATAGTGAAGTCATCGAGAATATGCGAGATAAGAAAGTAAAATGAAGGCGTCAGACACATTTCATGGTAGCATGCCCACCTCAGCCCCACTTAGTGGTCCGCATGGGGATGTGGAAGGTGGGAATGGCAGGAGAGAGAACGATTTATTTCTAACCAGGGCTTATATGTCTTTGGGGGGTGTGCAAGGCCCTGATTACAGGTAAAGACGTACATCACAGGAAGGGGTTGTACAATAGGTAGTACAGTAATGGGAGGGGGACGATCTAGGGGTATGCATGCAATAGGAAGGGGAGGGATTGGAGGTAACACATGTGACAAGATGGGCAGATCCTAGATTCAGGATGGCAGCCTAACTTTGGATGTCACTGAGCAGGTTTGATCTGTTCTAGCTCTCCAGGGAAATAATCACTATGCTATCAATAGGGTGTGAGCCACACCTACAGTGGACCAGACAGTAGTCTAATTGCCCTGGATGGCTGAATGCCTTCAGGGAGAATATCTCTAAGCATCTGACCTCCCACCATGTGCTGGCAAACAGCCTCGTAGGGGGAGACAAAGCTGGGGAAAAGTCTTTATATATCCCATAGGCCATGGCTTAGTACGAACAAATCCACAATACTAAGGTATCTTTAAACAGGAGCCTGGTGGTGTACTGGTTACTAGTGGGGCTTCGATCTGCATGGTCAGCAGTTCAAAGCCACTAGTAGCTCTTTGAGAGAAAGACTTTCTAGTCCCGGTAAACAGTTATAGTTTCAGAAGCCCACAGCATTGACTCATTGGGAACGAGTTTTTGTTTTGTTTTGTTTTTCTTTAAGCAGAAACCCTTCGAACAAGGTGAGGCCTTGCTTGTTGCTGTGAGGTGCTGCATCGGTTTTGACTCACAGTGGCCTGCTGTGCAGCAAAACAAAACACCGCCCTGAGCCATCCTCACAATCGAGCTCACCTTCAAGCCCCTCGTTTGCAGCCACTGTGTCCACCCATTGTGCTGAGGGCCTTCCTCTTTTTCGCTGCCCTGCTGCTTTACGCAGCCTGAGGTCCTTCTCCAGAGACTGGTCTCTCCTGACAGTGCATCCAAAGCACCTGAGATGAGGTCTCAGTGTCCTTGCCTCGAAGGAGCACTCTGGCCAGACTTCTTCCAAAATGGATGTTTGTTCTTTATCATTTAATTTTAATTATTTTATTGGGGGCTCGTACAACTCTTATCACAATCCATCCATCCATGGTGTAAAGCACATCTGTACCTTTGTTGCCATCATCATTTTCAAAACATTTCTTTCTACTTGAGCCCTTGGTATCAGCTTCTCATTTTCTCCCCTCCTTCCCTCCCCTCCCTTCCTCATGAACCCTTGATAATTGATAAATGATTATTATTTTTTCATGATGTTTGTTCTTTTGACAGTCTACAGTACTTTCAATATTCTTTGCCAGCATTATCATTCAAATGCTTGGTTGATAAAAATGTCATGACTCATAGAAACCTGACCCTGTTACTTCCTCTAGGAACACGGGTTCAGGGGGTGCTGATTGTGTGAGGCCGGGCTGACTAGAGAAACAAATCCAGTGACACTCATAGATGGGTAAGAAAGAACTTTCTATCAAGAAGTAGTTATATAACCAGATAACAGCCCAGCCCAGTCCAACTCATGCCCATAAGTCCGATACTAGTCCATCAGTCCCTCTTCAGACTCACACAGCCACATGCGATGATGCAGAATGCAGGATTATCACAGGCCAGTGGGTGTAAAGCCTTGTGGAGCCAATGGCAGTGTTAACATCACAGGGCTCTGGCAGCATCCAGGATCAGCCAGTAGGAAGGTGAAGACAGAGAGAGAGAGAGAGGGAGAGAGAGAGAGAGAGAGAGAGAGAGAGGCTAAACCCCACCTTTACACATTTGAACATTTCAGGCTGACATGAAATTATGCAATGACCACACGGATGCAGCGTTTGCAGGGATGCTGCAGAACATAACTCTTGCGATGATGAGACTCGGCTGTAACTCATGAAGACCCCACGGACACAGGGGAGATGAGCTGGGACCGCAGGGTCCCCAGGACTGTCTCTTCACCGCTCCCATCCTCCCCGCAGGCCCCCTCTCCTGCCCCCACAGCCATGGCCTTCAGCTCTGCTCCACTGGAGGACACGTCCTCACGCCCCCAATTCTGCAAGTGGCCCTGTGAGTGCCCACCGGCCCCACCCCGCTGCCCGCTGGGGGTCAGCCTCATCACGGACGGCTGTGAATGCTGTAAGACATGTGCCCAGCAGCTCGGGGACAACTGCACAGAGGCGGCCGTCTGTGACCCTCACCGGGGCCTCTACTGTGACTACAGCGGGGACCGCCCGAGGTACGCAATAGGAGTGTGTGCACGTAAGTGAGACCTCCCTACCCTTTGATATCCCTTCTCCCTGGAACACCCCGCCCTTCCCTGCCCACACTTGTGCTTGGCAAGCAATGCTCCCACTTCAGTCCAGAGGGAGGGGGGTGCCTGCTTTCCTCATGACTCTAGACACGCGAGGTCCTGGCTACTCTCTCATCTGTCTCCAGAGAAGAGGGAGCCACTAGTCAAAGACCTCGGTCTGGTCTTGCTGTCTTAGTGGCGAAGCCCTTGACCTCCCAGGGAGCACTAGGCACTGCAGAAATACTGCAAATGCAAATCATGTGGTGAAAAAAAAAAGCCAGTAACCTTGGAAGTGTGAAAGCCAGCAGCCTGCTGTGAAACATCCCTACGTCCCTCCAGTTGCTTCAGCGCCTTTGAACTCTTAGCGACTTCTTCTGGCCTTGACCCTTATCTCATACCTGTCTTCTCCTATGTCTCCATTACCTTGGCAGGTCCATTCGGGATACCCTGTTAGCGTTCTTTTTGATTGCTCATGATTTCGCTTCCCAACACCATTCTGCTCTTCTTCCTGTGCTTCCAAATGCCAGGGTCTTCATTTCTGGTGATGCAAACAATCCATGCTTACAAGATGAACCTACTGCTGTCAAACTGATTCCGAGGCATCGCGAGCCTGGGAGACAGAGTAGAGTTGCCCCATGAGGTATCTGAGATGGTCCGTCTTTACAGAAGCCGACTGCTTCATCTTTCTCTCTCAGGGGAGCAGGGGGGCTCACACAGCAGACGCCCATGTGGACGGTATGGTGGCGGTGTAAAGACTCACTGTTCGGTGCAGCTTGTTCTTGTCTGACTTTCCTCTCTCACGATGCTGTTTGGCTTTCCTGGAGTTCCTCATGGCCTTTGCTTTTCCGGACCCTTTAGAATAGGCTGGGGTTTGTGGCTGGAGTGGGGGGCAAGGGTTGTTTTTTTGTGCTTGTTTGCTCTTGACATGCAACACCATGGATAGTCTGTCCTTGTTTGGCTCCCAAAGGCAGTCCTTTTGGGGCTTTCTGACCTCCTGCTTCCATCTGGACCAGCATTCACTTAGCTTGAGCCACTCAACATTTATCCTAGTAAGATACACGACCCAGCAGGATGAAGAGTTTCACTGGGCACCCTGATACAACTGCCTAACCTCCAAAATGCTGCATAGAGACACCTCTCAATGCCAAGGACAACCTTCTCTCCTTAGTGGAATCGTTGTAACCATGAGTCCATGTACACCCCGCTACATATTTGCCTAACAGCATAGAATCTCATCCCCACCTAAACCATCACGTGCCCCACGTGGGTTGCTGATGGGGCTTATGTATATAACTCCAGGCTAGGTCATCTTATCTTCGCCTCCTGGTTAATTGACAGGCATATTAATGCTCTTGTTTGGGAGAAAACTGAGGCCGCCTGTGCCCCAGAGAGATTTATAGCCTCCGAAACCTTAGAAGCGTTCTGCTCCAGCCTACCAGTTGCCCGGGGTGTAATCAATTGGATCGGTTGGTCCATTCACTGCACATTGATCCTTGGTGCCTGCTTCTACTCTGTGGCGAGTCACCTGCCCTTGGCTTTGCCGGTCACCTCCTCCTCCCAGCCTTGCCCCTTTCCTTCTCTGCAGATGTGTTAGCAGCCCCGTGAGCTGTGTTCAGAGAGAGTTTGGAGCTTCACCTGTGTGGGGTTGTTGCTGCGTTGGTTACAAAGGCTCTTCCCGGGCCCCACTCCAGACTTACAGGATCAGACTCCCTGGAGGTGGCGCCGGGGAGTCCACAACTGGGGGATGCTCATGCCTCCACCCCACCCTAGGACTTGTTCAACCAGCTCCCTGCTCATCCTCACCCCTTAGCTCTAAGGCTGCAGGGATCCCTTCTGCACTATGACGAGGGGCCCTGTTGGCCTCGTGGTTACACGCTGGGCTGCTAACTTTGAGGTCAGCAGTTTGAAACCCCCAGTCACCCACAGGGGAAAGAAGGGGTCTTCCACTCCCATAAGGAGTTACATACAGTCTCGGAAACCCACAGGGGCAGTTCTATGCTGTCCGACAAGGTCACCATGAGCCAGAATTAACTCAATGGCAGCAAGTTTGGTTTTCAGTTTTCTTGATTTTTGTCCTTGACTCCTCATGAGCTGATGCAATTTTCCTTCCTTCAATTGGACAAATGAAGACTGATCTGAGCGAGATGGGGGTGAGGCGCACTGATCAGGGGCTCCCCACCATCCAGGTTCACAGACATGGGAACAAGCACACTTACCTAGCTCCCAAGGGCCTCCCACAGCCTTCCCTGTGCTTGGCTTCCCTGGGCCCAGCCTGTCCCGTGGTGCTTAGGGTCCTGGGTTGTAAAAAGGTCTCTCTAACTCTGTCTCTCCGTAAGTGGTGGGCTTCAGAGAGACTGTCAATTTGCTTTCAAGTGCTAAGGCCTCCAAGAAAGGACAGCTCAGGCAGGTTTGTTGAGATCAGAGGAGACGGGGTGTAGAAAAGAGGCTCTAAACACCCAGTTATGGTCTGAGTGTGATGAAGACAGGGGTTACCCTCATCCAGGGGTTTCCCTGATCATGAGGTGCACAGACATCAGAACAAGAAGAGCCAAAAACAAGCCGATGCCAACACTTAACCCAGTGTGCCACTAGAGTCCCCTACAAGGGAGACATCGTAACAAGCCTCTTCTTTTGCAGTGTTTTGAACACCGATCATTTTTACCCGGGTGAAGTCGGAATCAACTTGGTAACAGCGAATTTTCTGTCATCATCCCCACCCACAACCCCCCACACATGGCACCCTGGTGGTGCTGTCGGTGACACATTGGCAGCAATTAAAATCCACCAGTGGCTCTGTGGGAGAAAGAGGAGGCTTTCTGCTGCCCCAGAACTTTATAGTATCAGAAACCCACAGGAGTAGGTCTGTCCCATTCTATAGGGTCACTATGAGCTAAGTCGTAGGAGCCCTGGTGGTGTAATGGGTACCACAAGGTCAGCAGTTCGAAACCACCAGGTGCTCTGCAGGAGAAAGAGGGGTCTTTCTACTCACATATAGAGTGACAGCCATGGAAACCCACAGGAGCAGTTCTACTCTGTCCTGTGAGTCGGAATGGACTCAGTGGTAGTGAGACTCTAACACACACACACACACAACTTCACTAGCATTTTTTCCATAATGTCAGTGTTCATGAGACTCTCCTGGGACAAAACAGCAATCCCAGGGCCTGAAGGCCATCAGGAAGAGGCTGCCTGTCTGTCCATGGGGAAAGAGCGGAGTCCTTCCAAGGAGTGGTCAAGCCTTCCAAACGTGCTCCTGCCAGGGTGATTCCAACTCAAAGCTACCCCACCCCTGTGGGTTTCCAAGGCTGTAGATCTTTCTGGAACCAGGCTGCTACAGTTCTCCCATGGAACATCCTCAGAACCCTGACCTCAGGGTAATAGTCATGCTCTCAGTCAGCACAACCCCCATGCTCCTCCCGCATGGGCATCCAGAGAAGATGGCTGGTAAGTGGGGAATGAAGCGTTTTCTATCAGAGGTCGTCCCAAGAGGCCTCGGACCACTGTTTCTGGGAGAAAGTCCTACTTGGCCTTGTCCAGACTGAGCAGTCTTATCAGGAATTCAGAAGGCCAGTTATGTACCTGATTTGTCAATGCTGGTGACACAGAGTCCTTTGAGAATACACTCTCCGGGCCAAACTAAATAGGACTATGGGCAAAGTGCTGCCGGAGGAGGGGATGCTGGGGCCAGCTGGCTCTGGACAGTGGCTATGCAGCTGGGTCTGTCCCGAGGGCAGTGTGGTTTGAAGTGGCACAGGACATTTCCAGGCAGCCAGCCTTGGGCTGGCACCCAGGCGCTGCCTTGGCTAAGCTACGTGACCTTGGGCACTCTGCTTTCAGGAGCGGGATGGAAGCAGCTCCCAGGTTGCGGATGACAAGCAGTGCGGGGAGAAAAGTGGAAGCTTGCATGTGAAGCTGCGGCAGCTTCTGCTTCATTCGCTTTGCTTTGCTTTTCCCATGGAGAAGCCATCTCGGCCCACTGTCACTTTGAAACGAAGGGACAGGCCTAGTCCTCTGGAAGGCCAGCTCCCTGGAAGTCCCTGG